TTTCATATATTTTGATAAAAGTTGATAGAATGCATAGTTGACAAGTTGATAAAAATTATGTGTCTTACAAAATATTAGATTAAAATTAATTGTTGATTCTGTCACAAATTTTTAATCAAATTTTAAGCTATGCCAATCATGAGCTTACCGTAATGTGGAGGTTGGGTTGGACACGTTGACACATGAAAACCTAAGTAAACTCAAAACAATACCCGTTCCACATGGCAACCTTGTATACCCACAAAGCTCCCCCTGGGTTAGTTGGATGCCCTAATCTCATCACGTTTGGCATTTCTTGGCAGCCATGAAAATTGAAACTTCTGCTAATCCACTAATTTTTGTTTTTGTTACAAACTAATTAAGGTTATTTCTGTCATAACACAAGAATCCTACATCTATATATTGAAATCCTCTATCGTTCATTCTGATACACCTGCTCACCACGAAAATGGAGTATCAGAAACTAAGGAAAATGATGAGTAAATTTAAGAAGATTATACTCTCGGTATCTTTAGTTTCCATAGTTATGAGCTCATTGAAATTGTACTTTTCTGCAATTCCATTAATCAATCTTCTGGGCATTGCATCAAACAAAAACTGCATATTTCTGATTTGCAATGGGCTGTTGGTGTTTGTTGCAAAAACATCTGACGGCTCGGTTCTTTCTTCCTCTGGTTTTGATCTTAATGATTTATTGCAGAGAAAGATTGGCGACAGTTTGCCGCCAACTCTCGAGATAGAAGAACCCAGCAGCTTGTTGATTAAAGACGATGAAGAAAACAAAGAACTAAAGGAAGAAAATGAAGCAGAAGCAACAAAAGAAGAAAAAGAAGAAAAGAAACTAAAGAACTTGGTTATGGAAGATTCGGAAGGCGACGGAGGAGGGGGAAATTGTAACGTCGACGATGTAGAAAATGAGTTACTTTTTGGTGAACCTAAACAGGAAGAAGAAGAAGAAGTAGTGGATGAATGTCCGTGCGAAGAAGAGGAGAAGAAACTCACAAACTTGGTTATGGAAAAATTAGAAGGCGACGGCCCTGGTGATGGAGGAGGAGGGGAAAATTGTAATCTCCAAGATGAAAACGACTTGGAAATAGGGTTACTATTTGATGAAGTAGAAGAAGACGACGACGACGAAGAAGAAGAAGAAGAAAGCATGGAGACGTTGAGTACAGATGAGTTGAATAACAAGTTCGAAGATTTCATACGACGGATGAAGGAAGATATTAGGATGGGTAGAAATAATTATAATGATCAAGAAAATTATAATTACGACATTAATTTGTATGACAAGAATTGGCCAATCATTATAGTGAATTAATTTTCTTTTCTTTTTTCTTATTTTAGAGAATAATAAACATATAATTAATCATTTAGGTTTGTGCATTTTGTTAGTTGATACTCGTTTATCGCCATTGTATCAACCCTATGTAGCATTTGCATTCTTTCCTATGTATACTATTTTATAGATGTAAAAGTGGTGTTGTAAACATATTTTGTTAATGGATTGCTTCATGTAAATATTTTGAGAATCCATTTTGTGAAAAGTGATTTTTTCTAAAGATTGTGTAATTAAAAATTAGAAAAAAAATTATGGGCTGTTTATCTGCAAAATTATTTTATTGAGAGAATGTATTATTGAAAACGAGTTTAGAAAAAAGAAATTAAAAATCTCTACCAAGTACTTAGAGTTATTTACTAAATTAACCCTTAGAAAGGTTGTAGTTTTTTAAGAAGTTCATTCATCAAATTTCATGTCAAAAGTAGCATGATGAAATTGTTGATTTCTTGAATAGGTAAGTGATTACAGGTCAAGTATTTGATTCCTTTCCTTTTAACATACCCAATTTTATCACAATTTCTTTGGTGAACCTAAACAGGAAGAAGAAGAAGAAGTAGTGGATGAATGTCCATGCGAAGAAGAGGAGAAGAAACTCACAAACTTGGTTATGGAAGAATTAGAAGGCGACGGCCCTGGTGATGGAGGAGGAGGGGAAAATTGTAATCTCCAAGATGAAAACGACTTGGAAATAGGGTTACTATTTGATGAAGTAGAAGAAGACAACGACGACGAAGAAGAAGAAGAAAGCATGGAGACGTTGAGTACAGATGAGTTGAATAACAAGTTCGAAGATTTCATACGACGGATGAAGGAAGATATTAGGATGGGTAGAAATAATTATAATGATCAAGAAAATTATAATTACGACATTAATTTGTATGACAAGAATTGGCCAATCATTATAGTGAATTAATTTTCTTTTCTTTTTTCTTCTTTTAGAGAATAATAAACATATAATTAATCATTTAGGTTTGTGCATTTTGTTAGTTGATACTCGTTTATCGCCATTGTATCAACCCTATGTAGCATTTGCATTCTTTCCTATGTATACCATTTTATAGATGTAAAAGTGGTGTTGTAAACATATTTTGTTAATGGATTGCTTCATGTAAATATTTTGAGAATCCATTTTGTGAAAAGTGATTTTTTCTGAAGATTGTGTATGGGCTGTTTATCTGCAAAATTATTTTATTGAGAGAATGTATTATTGAAAACGAGTTTAGAAAAAAGAAATTAAAAATCTCTACCAAGTACTAAGAGTTATTTACTAAATTAACTCTTAGAAAGGTTGTAGTTTTTTAAGAAGTTCATAGGGTATCTTATAATATTTTCTCATCCTTCATCAAATTTCATGTCAAAAGTAGCATGATGAAATTGTTGATTTCTTGAATAGGTAAGTGATTACAGGTCAAGTATTTGATTCCTTTCCTTTTAACATACCCAATTTTATCACAATTTATAGGGTGAATCAATTTTTAAGTTATTTTATTTTATTACATTAGTAGAACAAATTTTGTGAAGATGCTAAGAAATTAAAGTCAAATTTAACAATTAATTTTAACTATACATTTTACGAGTCTTACAATTTTTATCAACTTTTTAACCACGCATCTTATCAACTTTCTTAGAAGTCACTAAATTTTTTTATCAAAATCTTTTTCAAACAACCCTCAAATTTAAACTTAACCAAGGACAAACGATTTGCTTACACGACAAAATTATTAAATAATTAAGAAAATATGTTACATCACACGTATGGTTTACACGTATAGTTTTAGTTTAACTTGTTGCACTCAATCAACGTTGAATGTTAATTTCATGCAGTTTCCTAATCCTCAAAGTCTTCGGGTTTCTCAATGATCCAAATATCGAGTAAATACTGAATTTTTTTTATTTTATTTTTTAATATTTGAGACCTGACAGCAAAGGACCCCACAAAAACTGATTAAATTAAAAAGTCATAAAGTCAATGAAACATTCGGATAATAAATATATGTGTCGAGCAGAAATCCAGAAGATATTGTCAAGTAAATCTTATTTTCCCCATTTCTATTGGAGGGGCATGATATACAATTATACATTTGTCGTGATCGTGTCACTATAGTTTAACGCTACCAATTATTATAGCGTGGAAGGGTAAATCTTGATGATAGCCTTTCCACCGTCAAGTTTGACGGGAAGTGTTTAACTCTTGCTCGATCTTCTTGTGACTCTTCTATAAGAATAAAAAATAAAAAAATATAAAAAATTCAGGAATCGTCCCCTTTTTGTTTGTTTAATTATTCAATTAGGAACAGGATATGGTATAGACAGGTACGGAAAAAAAAAAAAAGGAGAGAAAAGAAAAGAAAAATTAAGCGGTGCTAATAGGTAAAAAGATTGAATTACACATAAAAGATTTGTTTTTACTTTAAAAAAAACATTAAATTACATAAATCCAGATCTTTAAAGATCACAGCTCAAAATTCAGGTACAAAAATGTTTGATGGTTCACAAATCAGGTATTAATAGATTTAAATCCCCCAATTCACATTTCAAACCCTAATTGAAATTTCACTCCTCCCATTACAAGACACTTTCCCATTCCCTCTCTCTATGTGCTCGATGCCGGCATGGGGATTAAACACTGCAACAAGTAACGAAGGAAGGGCGATGGCATAGGGTGGTGCCGGCATCGGCATAGGAGGTGACGTTGTTGGGAACGCAACGTTGCGACATGAAATTGTTCTTCTCTTTTCGATCTGAAGGCAATGGTTTCCGAACTGTTCTTTTCTCTTTCCGAACGGTTCTTTTCTCTTTCCAGCGTAGGGGAGGCGTTTGATCAGCATTTATCTCTCTACATTCGATCTACAGTCTTCTGGTTTTTTGGTTGGAGGTGCTGGTGACTAGTGAGGTGTTTATGGTAGTGGTAGCGGTCGATGATGGTGATGTGCTGGCGCTTGTGGTGTTTTGACACGGTGATGTGGTGGCTTCTATGTGCCCGACGGTGATGTGGTGGCGTTTGTGGTGTTTGACACGGTGATAGTTTGGTTCAGGCGGTAATGGTGTGGTTGGTGGTTTTTTTTGGTGTGTTTAGTCATGGCGGTCGTGGTGGTTTCTAGTGGTGGTGGAGGTGGATCTAGTGTCGACGATTTTTGTTAGTGGTGCTGTCGTGGTGGTATTGGAGACGGCGGCGATGGGATGAGAGTGGTTGCAAGTGGCGTGTGTGGTCAATTGTTTGGTTATCCGTGACTAATTATTTAACTGTTACCTTAAAATTCGATCATCTATTACCAACAAATTTAAAAATATGTGATCGATATATAAACTGTGACCTGTAATTTTTTCACCTGTGACTAATAAAATGATATGTGACCTACAAAAATTTTGATTTGTGACCTCAAAAAAATTTGTGACTAACAATTTGATGATATGTGAGCAGTAAATAAATTTGTGACCTATAATTATAAATATGTGACTATTAATTATATAATTGTCTTTATTTAATAAATATTTTTAATCAATTAAATATAATCCTGAATTTTGAAATTTTAAACTATTTACCTGATTTTTAAAATGGTGTAAACAATACACCTGGATTATGAATTTTTCCCAAAAAAAAAAAATTACTTCAAATTAGTGAATTGGGCTGGCCTAGCCCAGTCCCCCCTAAATCTGCCCATGTGTACAGAAAGTCGGTCTCCTTTTCCAAAGCTTAGCATGTTGGTTGACCCTACTCTGCAATGCAAGACATCGGACAAAACTTTGTACACGAAGGTAATGAGAAAATGACATAGTAAGATTTTTAGCCTCCACGAGTATGGCACAGTAGTAAAATAGGAGGGTTCTATACGGAGTATCAGATGTTCGAATCCCCGCGACAGCTGAAAGGCAACATTTATGTTGGAAGTCAGTTTTATAGTGCGTTTTGTCGCTTTTCCGGAGGTCCTGTCCCCATGTCATAAAGGGAGGTCTACAGGGAGGAGAACCGCATCCCAAATGTCCGACCCAAATGTGTATAAGTTGTGATCGCATCCGAATTTACTTGGATGGCGAACTAGGAGGGAAGACCGACACTTCTCAAGATTAGTCAGATAAAGTTTGAACACCTGGGTTATAAAAAAAATGACATAGTAAGATTTCGAAGTGTGAAAGTAGTTCGTCAGAAAAAAATCAATAAATTACTTAAAACGAATGTTATTTGTCCAGGGATCCTCCTTACGTAATTATTCAATGGGCGATTATATTAAGAAAGTATTTAGGTATTTTTACGAAAGTGCTTATGATTGACTCCTTTGTTTGGTGCAAAAACTATTCCAATTAGTATTTATTCATGTCCTATTTGACAATCATTATTTGAAAACTCTTTTGTAATACTTATTTTCAATTACACATTCATACAATATAACATTATGCATATAAATTCAAAATTTTTCCTACTTTTTAAATACACTTTAAAAATAAAAAATTACTATTCAAAAATTTATTTTTCCCAAATAATGATTGTCAGACATGCCTTATTTATGCGAGAATAACATAATAATTTTTGTCTAGTCCAAAATCCAACACAAATTACTTTTGATTAATTCCACGTTAAAATCGACATTTAACTAAATGACTTTTAACTCCTAATAATCAATTAGCAGATAAGTACAGGATTTATAAGATTATCACCAAAATTTATTATAGAAGCTTTTTTAACGTGACATTGATATTCCGTGTGTGACTTTTTTATGATAGAGTGTGACCTTTCTTCTAAGTTTAGTCAATCATCTAATGATGAATCAAAAACCCTAATGCGAATCCACGTCTTTTGTGGCAGTAAATGAAGATTGGAGATATCTAGAATGTCTTTGGGCCTGTTTGATAGGATTTTTTTTTTTTAATATTCAGATATTTCAGTTTACACTAGACTAAATCCTGGAACCCCAAGATCCTTACCCCTAGAATCTTGGAGGGGGTAAATCGCGGATTATGCCTCAACTGGATCACAGGTTCCCCCCACTGCCTGTACACTTCTGCGTACAAGAGATCTTCCTCCAAAGTGATTGCTCCATACCAAATAAATCTGGCCGCAGGTTCCCACCAAGATTCGAACCTCCACCCCGCCGCTGGAAGCAAGACAAATGTTGATTGATCCACCAGTTGAGCTGTGCTCCTAGGGGCTATTTGATAGGACTTTTGAAAAGTCAAAAGGTATTTTAAGACTAAAAAATTACTTTCTAACGTGTTCAAATAATTTTTTGAAATAAATATATTTGATTAAAAGAGTTTTTAGAAGAAGTTAATCAGAAGGAAATTCCAAGTGCAATTCTTCTGCAAAAAGTAAAAAAAAAAAAAAATAATAGAAGTCCTACAAATCGAGTCGTCTTTCACGTATCGTTAGAACAAAATGGGAAAATGAACAATTAGAAAATGTGATGAGTGGGTATCATATTGAAGCAGCCATGAACTTAGATGCTCGATTTTCAAGGACTTCATCATTAAATGCTAAAGTGTCCAATGCATAATTTTATGTCATGTGATATCATTACACGTTTGATATAAAATATTGAACAAAGATCGACTATGAGTTTGCCAACCGAGAAGATGGGATTGCAATCATTTAGTTGAATGATCAACATCCAACATGATAAATATAGTTTAATCTAATTAATCCAGAAAAAATGTGGATTCAAACGTTAATTATTACTTGGTTGATTTATTTACCAAAGTTTAATTGGTTAATAAAAGCCAGGTTGCATGATTTTTAGATGGGGAAATGGTGAAAAATTTGGTATTGAACAACATATAATTGGTAGGCTCTTTAATGCATTGATGACTTGATGCACACGTTAATCAAAATACAAATTTGCGCAGACACAAGAAGAGAACATTTTTAGCCACAAGTACAATTAATTATGGTGTCGAAGAATATTAACTAGAATTTTATACATTTCGTCAAACATTTCTGTTGGGCGATAATAGGATCAGAAGATAAACGTTTTTTCATGCTTCAAAATAAAGTTATAAAGTATAACTATTGTGTCGATTATTTTGACTATATATTTAATGTAAATTCATATACGTGATAACTATAATTCAATTGATCCGTTTTGATATGATTCAAGTGGTTTAAAAATAATCATCCTCCACTAGAATATGAAAAACAAAAATATATGAATTATTATTATATTATTATATTTTGTGTGAAAACTGAAAATATTAAAAAATAAATAAATTGACTTCTATTTTTTTATTTTTTTTTATTTTACTAAATTTGAAAAATCGAATTATTGAAAAAACAAAAATCAATAACATGAAAGATTGAGTACACCATCCTTAGCCATTGTTCGTCATTCATTATTTTATATTCTATCGCATTATTTATTCTACAACACTCATTTTTAACCACACATTTTTCATTAAAATAATATTACATGTTAACCAAAAAATTTTCTTTCTTTTTTAACCATACATTCTCTATTAATCTACTTTTCCATAATACATTTTTCAAGATTTAAAGGGCTCAAACACACCCTAACTTCACTAATTGAATGCAAAATCCAAGGAAAAGAAGAAGGCCGATGGGGGGGGGGGGGAGGG